ATTCAATACCATTTCTAAATATTTATCGCGGTCACACCTATTGGTAACGAAGCTAACGTTATTAATGCGTTGACTAATGTCAAAGCAAAGGACAACTGGGAAGTCATACATAATAATGCTTCGAACAATGAATGCGGAGGGAGGATGAAGAAGGTTCAATAAAGCATGATCAATAAGAGTTCCGAAACAATTATTAGTGCCCCGGGTTGTAAGCGCTGCTTCATGTGGGGCAAGACCAACATTTCTTGTAGTTTTGGCTTTCTGCAAGGTACTGACTTAGCCATAAATCACAGCTTTTGTGACGTAGGATAGTACCCTCTAAGCCAATATTCATATCTGTTGACAAGCGAGGTATTGCCAACACATATCTAAGGTGTTGTCCACTTTGTTGAGTTTGTATGTGGCTGATGAAGACCAAAAATGATCACTCATCATATTGTGGCTGTTGTGCATCAAACTATACGCTCGCTTCCTGATTAGAATTGTTTAATTGCGGGTTTTTGTTTTGCTCTACTGCTATGCTATATTCCACAAGTTAACGCACTTCTTTGCTGGTAATGACGGCTCTATTTGGTCTTTTCGCAAGTTATTTTCCAACACCAGCGTGGTTAGTAGTCAAATACTTGACTGTCATGCAGCTGGAAGGCCTGGGTTGAAATCATGTTTGATCCTTGGTGTCTTTTTGTCCTATTTTGTGTCTGTCGGGGACGTCACAGATGGCAATGACAATGGCGACGGCCGCTTCACTGAACACAAGAACGGGCGCCTAAAAAACGCAGGTAAACGATTGCTGACGCGAGAGAAAGTGCTGCAATTATATTTTAGCCTTCCTGACGACCCTACGTCGAGTGATTCCGACAGAGATACGGATGAAGACTTCGCACCTGAGCTCGCTTCGCCTGATTCAGATGAGCAAAGCAGTGAAGCCGAAGCGGCGGAATCAACGAGGAAACCACAAAAGCGAAATGCTACCTATTCAAGAAAGAAAAGTAAGCAAAAGAAAGTGCCTAGGATTTGCGACGAAACAGAAGTCAAAGAGGAGGAGGTTGGGGCATGCAATAGCAGCGAACCGGATGCCTTCATTCGTGTTCTAAAAATTTGGTACCCACAATACAGTGCGAATCATCGACGACACCTTGTGAAGCTTTTGCTCTTTATTTTGACGAAGGTATAATGAACACACTGGTGACTGAAACAAACCGCTTTGCCAAACAGAAAGGCCGGCAGCTTTGGAAAGAGCTTACACTTGATGAACTCCGTGCATACTTTGGCATACTTCTGCGGATAAGCACAAACCCCGGACATCAAATGTACCTGCACTGGAGCAGTGACAGTTTTTTCAATTGTCCTGAAATATTAAAGGTTATGTCGTTCCATCATTTTTGAGCCATTATGAACTGTTTGAACTTCACCGACCCAACCAAGAAAAAAAGAAAGGAGATGAAGGGTACGACAGGTTGGCAAGAGTGCCTCCTCTCATCCTTGCACTGAAAGTTTCAAGAGACAATACACTCCATCAGCGCACCAAGCCATTGATGAGAGTGTGATACGATTCAAAGGCCGGTCCTCACTGAAGCAGTACCTCTCAATGAAACCTATCAAGCGGGCTACAAGGTGTGGTGAAGAGCCGACTCCCAGACAGGTTACCTGATTGAATTTCAGGTCTACGAAGCTAAAGGTACAGACAGACCTGCGAACGTAAGTCTGGGTGAGCATGTTGTGCTCTCCCTCATTGACGGAGTAGAGGCTGGCACGCAGCTATATTTCGAAAACTTTTTCACGTCCGCACACCTAATGAAGGCCTTGAAAGAAAAGAACATTTTGGCAGCAGGAACGGTTCGCCCAAACCGTAAGGACTTACCTGACGAAATCAAACGGGATAACAAGCTACAAAAGGGACAGTATATACGGCGGGCAAAAGGGAGCATCACAGCTTATCAGTGGCAGGACACGAAAAACGTACACGTGCTGTCGAAATTTATCCTCCCAGTGACACTGAGGACGTTGTTCGAAAGCTTTTTAATGGCTCATCCACATCCGTCCAGTGCCCGACTACAATACCAGGATGGGCGGAGTCGACAAGTTTGACCAAAGATGGAACGCATACCCGGTGGATCGACGATCTAAGAAGTCGTGGCATCGAATTTTTCACTTTATGCTTGACGTAGCAAGAGCAAATGCTTTTATTCAAATAAAAGCAGTCACTGAAATGAGCTACCTTTGGTTCCGGCTCGTCCTTGGTCGCCAAATGATGAAAGGGCAAACATTCAAAGGGTCCAGCCAACAAAAAAGGTGCCAAACATGGCCAGGAAACGGTAGGCGTTGCTGATGAAGTCCGATTTCTGGGAGCTGGACATCACCCTCAGAAGATTGCGAAAAGGAGGCGGTGTTGCTGGTGCTCGACTGCCAAGAAAGAAGCGCGCACCAACCTTCTGTGTTCTGTATGCAATGTGCCCCATTGTTCAATGTGTTTTGGACCTTTTCACGCCGGCCGAATGTAACCCTGGAACCCTCAAGGAGCATTGGGACAAATGCGTCCCATTTTTAAAATTTTAATTTAGCACCAGTGGTACAAATGTGTCCCAGTTTTTTTTAATAAAGTACTCATTTTACAGCCTTGAAATTTCTTTCAAACTACTTCTGTTTGCTTGGTTAGTAAATTAAGACAACCCTTTCCCGATTTAAAAAAACATATCCTGCCCTACAAAGGGTTAATAAACACAAATCACCGGTTCAATTTCCCCCATTAAGCAAGCCGGATCGTAAACTCACCGGCAGCGTACTAGAATCGGCAACGCTTCTGTTACATGTCAAGGTACTCAAAGACACCGATGAAACAAATGAGCATATCCACCGGAAAATGAGAAGAATAGCGTCCGTTAATGCAATTTCGAAGTGGTACGATCGTTCATCCACACATTTGAAAATAAGGTCCGCCATAGCAATGTGTAAAACGAATTCGGTTTTGGCCTAGATAGGCTCACTCTTACCACAATAAAACATCTTTTTGAACATCACGAAAATTTCTTTTTATTCATTTTTAATTTGGCCTTACGATTAGGTCATTTTCCAACTATTTGTAAATCTGGAAAAATTATTTTCATCCCGAAACCCAGTAGAAATCCAGAAGACATCATCTTATCGTTCATTGAATTTGAATTTACTATTTCGCAAAAAAATTTTCGAATGTCTTCTCAACTTCCATCTTGATTATTTTGGATTAGCTTATTTGAATGTAAGAAATAATAAATACGGCTTCACAACTGGTAGGCGTGCGATCATGGCCCTTCACGATTTAAAACATCGGTTACAACAAAAGCAACAGATGACACCAGTGATGCTAATATCTTTAGATTTTAAAGGGGCCTTTGATTCGGTGTGGCACCCGCTGGTGCTAACATTTTTCCATCAACGCGGATGTCCAAAAAACCTATACCATCAACTGACATCATTCCTCAGTAATAGAAAAATTGTCTATAGAACCTAAGTATCACTTGTATATGCCACACCAACTTTAGGAAGCCCGCAGGGATCTCCTAAAGTCCACTATTGTGAAATGTGGTCATCAGTGGACTATTAAAAATACCAATGCCACCAAACGTCAACATCCAAGCGTATGCAGATGACACAGCAATTACAATATCGTGTCCCACAAAGTCCGCCTTAGATGAAACGGCATCCGAAGTACGGCAAAAAGTGTGTTTTTGGGCGTATATGAATAAAGTGACCGTCAATCCGTCTAAGTCGGAATACATGATTTTACCACAGCTTTTCGGCCCCAAGGCTTAGGGAGATGGGAAAACAACTGCTTAATGGCAGAAATACCGGGATGGATCTGAACTATTACATCAGGCAGTACTTTTTCAGAGATAAACGGAACCCCCCCTCCCCCCCCCCCAAACATACTTCGTCTGTAGCTGTTCCTTCCAGCAATAGGAAAAGGTGTAAACAAGAGTATGCACAGCTGCAACAATGCTCAGTAAGGACCAAGCTAGAGCTGCCAGGCAGGTTGTTGGTTCGGCCTTCCAGGGGAGTGAGGCAGGGTGACCCTTTGTCACCCATACTCTTCAACTTGGCGATTGACGAGTTCCTGGCGAATCACTACAAGGAACAAATCGCTTTTGTGCCTGCAACCGACTTGAGTGATCTGAATGTGTCAGGTATGACGTTTTATGCCCCGCCGCGCTGGTCTAGTGGCTAAGGTACTCGGCTACTGACCCGCAGGTCGCGCGTTCGAATCCCGGCTGCGGCGGCTGCATTTCTGACGGAGGCGGAAATGTTGTAGTCCCGTGTGCTCAGATTTGGAGTTAAAGAACTCCAGGTGGTCAAAATTTCTGGGGCCCTCCACTACGGCGTCTCTCATAATCATATGGTGGTTTTGGGATGTTAAACTCCACATATCAATATCAGGTACGGCGTTTGCAGACGACATTGCCTTGCTTGCGGCGACACAGGCGGGACTGCAGTACAAGTTACTAAGTCTTCAAGTTTTTTTCAGGAAGCGAGGGTTGGCACTAAACCCCTCTAAGTGCTTATTGTTGGCGATGATCCCAGCGGGGAAGGAAAACCTCGTGAAGACTGATCCAACCATGAAGATCAACGTGAATAATGAGGCTATCCTTGCGGGTGCAAGTGAGACTGAGTGGCGGTACTTTGGCATTTCTTTTAGTGCCCGTGGTACACATCAAAGGCCGGTACACGGTGAACTCAAGGCATACCTGGAGAATGTAAGGAAGGCGGCTTTGAAACCACAGCAACGCTTTGTTGTTCTCTGCTTTTACCTCCTCCTGCGAATATATCATAGCCTCATTCTCGGTCCGGTGTCACGAAAACGTTTGATAAGGTTGGACAAAACGATCCGGTCACCAGTCAGGAATCGGTTAAAGCTCCCGCATAACGTTCCACTTGGAGCTTTTTATGTGAGGGTCCCACATGGCGGGCGGGGTAATCTATGCTTACGGACTGCCATTCCATACCTACGCTTACGCCGATTAAACGCCCTAGCAGTTTCTCAGTATGAAGCTTGGAAAAATGCGCACAAGATGACTTATGTCCAAGATCTTGTGCGGCAGGTAGAAGCCATGCTGCAATACAAAGGAAGTGTAATAGACTCCAAGAAAGCGAATTAAATATTTTAGACTACATACTTCCTTAGCAGCACACAAGGTGCAGCTCTAACGAAAGTGGCGAATGCTTCTGGAGCATCGGCGTTGGTGGCTGAAGGAACCAGGTTCCTTTCTGGTAGGGAATTTATTAATGCCGTTAGAGTCCGATTCAACTCAGTGCCTACCTTGGTGAGGCTTAAGTGAGGCCATGGCGTAACTAAGCTATGCAGAGCGGGGTGCGCCCAAGAAGAAACTCTTGGGCACATATTGCAGAAAGGCGATCGCACGCATCATACTAGAATCTAATGGCATGATGCGCTAACCCTCAATGCGAACTGTAACATCTTCACACAGGTCCCGTTAATTAGGGAGGCGATCGCCGGGCTAATTCCAAGGGCCGAAGTATTGGCCCCCCGAACCGCACCACGAAAGCGTGGACAATTTAGAAGTGGTCCTTTTTGGCGCGCCAGCGGACGCCCGTTGTGGCCCAAAGAACAAGTCAGAGCCGAGAGTTGATAAACAAAACAAATATTATATTCTCAAAAATGGCAGATCGAAAACAATACACAAGAATGCACACTCCACAATAGTTACATACAATACGTCACCAATCAAACAACGTACAACACAGTACAATCAGCCACACTCAAAGCAACGGACACAGACAACGATACGCTCTACAATGCAGTCGCATGCATTGAACAACCAAGACACTTAAAGACTAAAGAGATAGAAAACCTATCCAGTCCGAAGTTCTTGGAACAAAAGTCTGGATGATACTCTTCCGAGAATCACTCACTCAAAGTCCAGCGTTGTTGTCGTTCCGCGCCCTCGAAGTTTCTCTTCCAGGCAACCTCGCGTCTTCAATTGGCCACTCTCCAAGCTTATAACTTCTTCGCCCGAACACGTCGGCTTCACACACGCAGCTGTCGCCACCCGTCTTCGCACGATAGCGGTAAACACACTCTCTTGCCTGTAGCTCGAGCCTTCACCCCTCAGGTGGAAATCCTCTTTATCTCCTGCTTCGTCCCTACGGACAAAACCTTCGCCGACTACACGGCGGAATCCCTACGCACTCTGGCGCTAACTTCCGTCTTCACCTGCTTTCTCATCTCGGCTGCTCGGTTAAATACCTTCCGCGCGACATTCCAGAATGTTCTCGTCACTTCGCTGGCGCGATACGCAGTGAAGGCTGGGGAGAGGGCGAGACAGTTGGAATGCCCTCCGCGATGGATGACTCAACCCGGCGTGACCACGCCTCTTTCGTTCTAGAAATTTCGCGGGCTTGCTCGGTCGCCGATGTGGGGCGAGAAGGTTCGTCGGCGAAGCCACGCTTCCGAGGGGAGAGCGCGCGCCCGGGGAGCCTTGGATGTTTGTTTTCTTTTTTTTTCTTTTGACCTCCCGGCGTCTCTTCCGCGCGTTATCGCAAGAATTTGGCGGCGCGCCCATTTTTAGCGCTCATTCTGTGACACTGCCCCGCACTTTCAGAATATTATCTCATAATATTCCAAACCACACAAACGAGCGCGAACAGTCACCACACACTCTGAAAGACTGTAACACAAACCGTCGCTCATGACACTTCACATTCACAATAGATCACTCACTACAATCGTACATTGTAGTACAATTCCACAACACACGAAATATAGCCACATGTACCTGACTACAATACTTCATCACACATTCCAAACAATACAAACCGACAAAGTTCTGTCCTTACAACAATTATACAACACTATACATCACAGCACAAACACTTCGACACTTGTGACACAGCATAACACAACATTAACACAACATATGGCACTCAGCCCTGCCAAACACATTCTGATTCGACCTCGACACCTATCCAGCGTACTCCGAGCGGCGCTTGCGCCCTTTCTTGCGGTGCTCGCTCGATCTCTTCTTATTGTTTTTGCTCGTTTTGTTCCAGCGAGCCCCTTCCAACGACAGTATCTGAGGCAGCGTCTCAGCTATCGTTGTCACTTCCGACACCGTTAACGGGTCATAACATTCGACGGGTCTTGTCTGTTTCTTTTCCAGCTTGATCATGCCTCTACATTTTGCCCGGCTGGCCAACCCCGTCTCCTTTACACTATCGGTCGGTTGAGGTCGTGCCGACGTAAGTCCAGTTGCTCGGCCCGTGAACTCATTCATCACGATCATCTTATCATTCATGGTCCCTTGCACCGCGGCTTCACCTTGGGCTCTAGTGAGATCCGTCACGGGCTGCTCTTCCACTGTATCTCGCGGTCGCTGGGTTGGCGAGGGCTCTATCTTAGGTTCTTCTCCCAAGCATTCCGGATCATTCGGTCCTCGCGCCCCGGCGATGTTTCCGATGACGAGGTCGTAAAGGGGGGTCGTCATACATAGAGCGGTAACCTTCCCGCTGTAGTACGGGGTTTCCACCTCAATCTCTGCTTCGGGAAGCATCCGAACCGTACGGTCAATTAGGCAAACCGGTTTCGTTCTGCCAGTCAACTCACTTTCCCGTACCAAATTTCTCCGCACGATAACCGCGGAGCTATCGGTGTCTCTTAGAACCGTAATCTTCTTGCCCGCAACCTTTCCAGGCAGCGTTGGCATTCGCTTCGTAACACCGGTTGACTGTTTTGACATTACAGCACCAACAATGAGAATTTTCTCCCCATTTTTCAATTCTACGAATCCGTCGGTGACAACATTATTATCGGATTTCGGTGCTGCTTTCACACAGGATACCTGGTGAGTTTGACTCGCTCCGTTTCGACATGCATCTGCTTTGTGCCCAGTCTGACCACACTTAAAACATTTTACTACCGTAGGGCTCGTAAAGATCGTTCGACAGTTTTTCGCGCGATGACCCACTCGGTTACACAGGAAACATCGCGGAATGCTCTCCGGTGCACGCTTCTTTTCTTCGGGAGCCAATTTCTTCGACTCCTCGGGACAATCCTTCTTGACCTTGGCCAAATTAGTGCCACCTTGCGCTTCCAAGAATTGATCAGCCAATTCAAGCATGTCTTCAAGTGAGTCAGCCTTCCTCTCTTTCAAGTACAGCGACAGGCTTGGGAGGCAACTAGTAAGAAATTGTTCTCTATCTAGGAGCTCTCTAAGTTCATCGTACTCCTGCGCTGTCCCTGAAAGTTCAATCCATCTGTCGAAATAATGGCAAAGTCGGGCGGCATACTGCGTAGCCGTCTCACCATCAGCTGGCTTTCCTGTCCGAAATCTGTCCCGGAATCCTTCTACAGTAAATCTAAATCGCTTCAGCAAAGCAGCTTTCACCTTTGCGTAGTTGGCTGCATCGGTCGGCGTCAGCCTACCGTACACACTGAGCGCTTCACCACTCAAGCAAGTACTCAAAGCAGTTGCCCATTGATGTTCCGGCCAATTCTGGCTCTTCGCAATCGTCTCGAATCGGTGAAGGTACGCGTCAAGGTCGTCCTTCCTTTCATCAAACGCCACGAGCAGCTTGCTTGGGTTCAAGCGGAAGCCATGATCTTCCCGTTCGCTGCTTTCAACTCTAGGTTGGATGGGAGTTTCACTTCGCTGTTGAAACCGGAGCCGCTCGAGTTCCATCTCGTGCTGCCGCTGCCGTTCCCTTTCCTCTCTTTCTTCTTTCAGCTGTCGCTCCTTTGCCTCTCTTTCTTCTCTCGCCCTCTCAGCGGCCAGCTTTTCTCTCTCCAGCTCCAACTTCAACTGCTGCTCTTTTTCTTCTTTCAGCTGTCGCTCCTTTGCCTCTCTTTCTTCTTTCAGCTGTCGCTCCTTTGCTTCTCTTTCTTCTCTCGCCATTTCAGCGGCCAGCCTTTCTCTCTCCAACTCAGCTGCTTTTTCTTCCTTGGCCCTCTCAGCTGCCAACCTCTCTCGTTCCAACTCAGCTGCTTTTTCTTCCTTGACTCACTCAGCTGCCAACCTCTCTCTCTCTACCGCCTCTTTCTCCTTATGGCTTACCCATTTCCGTAGTTCGGCGCCAGAAAGACCCATTTTCTCACCAAGAGCGACTAACTTTTTGAGATCCATTGTGTCTCGCAAATAAAGCCTTGCCGCGTGCAAAAAGTATCTGCCTAAATTAGTCTATCGGAACACTCTCCTGCACTCGTTAGCGAGAACGCTGAACAACACACAAAATCGTTCCTATAGCAGTATCAACAACTCGAGGCTCTTTCTCACTACTTTGGACACACTGTGCACCAAAAGGTCATGTCGCGGACGCCAGATTAATTGTCACACAGGTGCCGTTAATTAGGGAGGCGATTGCCGGGCTACTTCCAAGGGCCGAAGTATTGGCCCCCCGAACCACACCACAAAAGCGTGGACAATTTAGAAGTGGTCCTTTTTGGCGCGCCAGCGGACGCCGGTTGTGGCCCAAAGAACAAGTCAGAGACGAGAGTTGATAATCAAAACAAATATTATATTCTCAAAAATGGCAGATCGAAAACAATACACAAGAATGCACACTCCACAATAGTTACATACAATACGTCACCAATCAAACAACGTACTACTTAGTACAATCAGCCACACTCAAAACAACGGGCAAAGACAACGATTGGGATGAGTGGGCTTGTCAGCAGCAGAGAAGGCAACATGCTCAGTAATCCGCTTTGCCTTGCAATACAGGTCTTGGCGATTCTTCTTGGTGAAAGCCCTGCGGTATGCACCGTCTTTCCGGGGCTGGCTCGGGATGATGACGTCACCTCGTCTGGCTGGCCTGGCGAAGCCTGGTTATCATCACCTGTGGACGATCGCTGCTGCATCGAGGAAACAACGCCCCTTCTCATCTTAGCGTCCACGTGGAATCAACGCCGAGTGACGTCGGTTCCCGTGATCGCTTCGGAGCCTTTAAATCCACGGGCAGTCTCATACCATGGCAGTGGGCTTGTCAGCAGCAGAGAAGGCAACATGCTCAGTAATCCGCTTTGCCTTGCAATACAGGTCTTGGCGATTCTTCTTGGTGAAAGCCCTGCGGTATGCACCGTCTTTCCGGGGCTGGC